CATGTATAGCCGAGCCATTAGCTCATTTGATAAACGTATCAATTGAATCAGGAGTCTTTCCGGAATATTTAAAAATCGATGTTGTTACCCCTATTTTTAAAAAGGGTGACCCCCATCTAGTTGACAGTTAGAGACCCATTACGGTACTGTCAGTCATCAGCAAAATTGTTGAGAAATGTATCCACCGCAGAGAGCTGAAGTGTAACCATCAGGAACCTGTGCAGTCTTCAATTTTGAAGATTCGTCGCAATTAACTTCCTATATATGAAAAGCAGAAATTAATTTCATTTGGTCGAGACGATCACCGATAGACCGATTTCGAAGTACTTGCTCCTCGTCAGTACCGGGCAGGTCATTTCAGACAGAGTGAACTGTCTGAGTATTCCCAATGAACAAAATCAATTCCAACTATTTGATGAAATTTATATACCTTTTTTCTAATTCTAGGATGGTCGGATGTGACTGGTTGGGTAAGTCATGGTGGTGCTTACCTGGGTACCAAAAGAACACTTCCCGGCAATCGATTGGGTTTAATTGCCTCTAGGCTTCAAGAGTTCAAAATCCAAGGTCTTGTTATTATAGGCGGTTTTGAGGTAAGTTATTAATATATGTCGGTGCCCTAATAATAAAATATTATGTTATGGCACATTTGAATATATTACATATCGATGATTAGCGGAAAGTAAAAAAGTTGTTTGTCCATGAGAGTGTCTATTGTTGCAGAGTAATATTTTCTTCAGTCAGGTATAATAAGATCGTTAATATTCTGGTTGACAAATATTGAAATCAATGTGAATACATTTCAGTTGATTTTAAGACATCAACATATCTTGTATCCTCTGTCTCACTGATATCAGTATTAAAGTATCTAACATCTCTTTATTGGAGGTGCTTTCATTACAATTCAGTAATGCCCTCATGATTCCATTTTTCATTTTTTTAAATAATATATTGCTTATTCCTACTGTTCCGAATATCATAACTTTTTATATTTTGTGTAGACGTTCAAGATCTGGCAACATTTACTGTCTTGTATTTGTAGGCGAATGTTTTCTCGTTATCGAACAACTGCATCACCCTTAGGTAGGTAGGTAGATTTCTGACCCTTGCCACATGTTGGGTTTTAGATATTTGAAGTGGTGTTAATAATAACTTTTTGTGTGATTCAAACAGAGTAAAATAACATACAGTCCACGAAGGTTGTGTTGTAATCATCTA